TCCCTTTGATCTTTTTGGGTACCCTAGAAATTAACAACTAATGGATTTGGATGAGGCTTCAAGTAATCCTGGGGTTGGAATCTTAGCTTCAATAGCATAACCCCATACATGTAGGTGATTCAAACTTGGATTCTTTCCAGTCCATATTTCATATGGTATTTTGGGCACTGATTTAGAAGGTACTCTATTCAAGATGTAAACTGCCATTTTAATGGCTTCTCCCCAAAAGGATGTGGGTAAAGTGGCATTTCTCATCATACTATGTATCATATCGATTAATGTTCTATTTTTTCTTTCAACAACACCATTTTGTTGAGGAGTATGGGCTATGGAGGTTTAATGAATAATCTCATGCTCTTGAAGAAAAGTTTCAAAGATCTCGAACTCACCACCTCTATTAGACCTTACAATTTTGATTTTTTTACCTAGTTGATTTTCCACCTCAATCTTGTAAACCTTGAATGTTTGTAAGGCATCTGATTTATTCTCAATTAGATGAATATAACCAAATCTAGAACAATCATCAATAAATGTAATAAGGTATCTATGTCCACTTTGAGCAGGAACTTTAAAAGGACTACAAATATTAGTGTGAATAATCTGCAAGAGTTCATTACACTTAGTACCATTAGGAAATGGTTTTCTAGTCATCTTATCCTTGAGGTAGTTAATATAATCACCATGATCATCAAAGTTTACACTTGGAAGTATTCCCTCTCTTACTAGTCTATTATGACGATCTTTGGATATGTGCCCTGACCTTTGATGCCAAAGTATAAATACAGATCCCATCTCTTTTCTTTTAAGTGAAAGTTATCAATAAGATATGATTCAATATTCACAAGTACCAAAGATTTTTCATATGATTGATCAAGATTCAATTTATAAAGTCCACCAAAACAAGTTGTAGAGCCAATATTATTCAAACCATAACTAATAGTAAGAGTTCCACTAGAAAAATAAAATAAGTACCCACAAGCATCCAACTTTAAAACTGAAATTAAGTTTCTTCTAATGAAAGGCACATAGTAAGTATTAARAAGATCTAGTGTGAATCTAGATTCTAAGATAAGTCCATAAGTGCCAACTCCTAAAACTTTAACATGCTCTGCATTCCCCATGTAGATGTAAATGCTCTCTGGATCAACCTTCCTTATGTTTAGGAACCCATGTAAGGTTTTTGAAATGTGAATAATATATCCATATATTCAATTATGAGCACACTAAGGATAAAGGATTACCTTGCTTGTTCTCCTTTTTCCTCAACTTCCAACAATCATACATGTAGTGCCCTAGTTTCTTGCAATAATTGCAGGTAATTACTTTTGCCTTCTTTTGCTTAGGCTTAGTTAAACTTTTCTCCTTAGGGTTATACTTATGTTTCTTTTTTTTTCTTTCTCCATTATTCTTAAACTATTTCTTCTTTGGTCCCAAAGTAGTAATATGCATAGATTCAATTTTGCCTTTCTTTTTGTCTCTCCTCCTTTAGGACACATTGGTTTATCAATTCATTCACACTAGTGTTGTAGTTATGAGTACTAGTGTTGTAGTTAGGGGTGGCAATTTTTCACCCAACCCACTAAACCCACCCAACCCACCTAGTATCTAACCCACCCAACCTGCCCATTTAATTGGCGGGTTGGAAATGGGTTGATCACCCCATTGGATCAATTTAAATGGGTTGGGTTGCTACAGATATAAGTATTAATTCCTTAGCCAGTTTTTTAATTTTCTTCATCTAAATGAAATAACTTATAATTAATGCATTAATTTTCTATTAATTATTGACTAAAATTAGTTTTGTCTCAAATCAACACACTTCACCCAAATCAACATAAATCCAAATCAACTTGACCTGAGTCCGGACCAGCTCAACTTGGTCTAAATATGAAAAAATCCGATCACCTCGGTTCACTTCATTTGGGTCGGTCATCCCAGTCCAAACCCGACCCAACCCAGGGCAGGCCAACCCGAATATGAAACGGGCCTGAGCGGATGGTTTGGCCTGACCCAAAATCTGTCTCGCTTGCTTTGCCCAGTTTAGATCATCTGGTTCGGCCTGTATCCGCATAGGCGACCCAAATCCRGACCGGCTCGATTTACTTCTCTTGATCCGCTTTGGAACAGTCAGTTCGGTCCTAAATCCGTGCACAAACCTGATATGGGCTGGTCCAAGTCAATTTGCCATTGATTGAACCAGTCCGGTCTAGTCCGACTAGACTGATCTAGATCTAAATGATTCAACCACCCTTGATGTGATTAGCTTGAAGACAATCCAATTAGATAGTTCAAGTTGGTCTGACCGGTTTGACCCTAAGTGATTCGGTCAAACCCGAAACCTGAATATAGTCAAATGGCTTCGCCGCTTGTGTAAAAATAACATGCATGTAATGTGATTTGAACCTTCACCACTTGTGTAAATAGCAACTACTATTACCACCAAGCTATGACCAACTTATTTGTCAACAAAGAGATAGTTTTTTGTTTTAAGTACATAAATATAAGATTAATGGGTTTGGATGGGTTGGATTGGGTTAAAGTGGGTTTGGGTTGAACCCAACCCATTTAATTTTATATAACTGGGTCATTAATGGCTTGGCGGGTTGGGTTGGGTTGAAGCTCAACCAAAACCAAACCCAACCCAACCTGCACAATGGCCACCGCTAGTTGTAGTTAACCACAAAGGTTTCAAAAGACTTGGGCAAAGTTAATAACATAACATAAACAAGGAAATCATCACCTAGGTTTATCTTCAAATCTCTAAGATGATAAACAATCCCTGACACCTTACTGATAAACTCTCTAATACTTCCAAGTTGCTCAAATATTGTAGCAAAAAGTTGGGATAGCAAACTCATAATCATTGCTTTTGTGGAGCCTACAAACTGATTCTTGGTCATATCAGGAGTTTCCCTAGCAGTATTAAATATGGAAATGCCAGGCTTCAATGGCTCAGAAATCCAATGTTGAATGAGAAGAAGAGCCATTTTATTGGCTACTCACTTTGTCAGAGGTTGTAAAGGTTCGGGTTGTGTGAGGAAAATGTCATATCCACAGGCCCCTAAGATTGTGTCAATTTGACTTCTCCATCTCTTACAGTTGGTTCCAATCAAGAGTTTAACAGAGAATGATTAAAATTGAGCAAAAAGGTTTTGAGTGTTCAAGGCTGTCATGCAATTACAAATACCAAATTTAATTTACACATTGGGAGCGAAATAAACAAATTACAAATCATACATCCAAATAATAAATGACAAAATTATATATGGTTTCACCCTCTCTCCTTTGGGTTCACGAATGATTCCATAATAACCAAGTGAATTTAATCACACAACAAGGCAAACTACACATGTACATACTTTACCATTAATAACTTAAACCTTTGGGTTCAAGTAATTAATAATAAATATGCACACATAAAGTTCCCTTGATCACTCAAATTAAACCACAATAAATGATGTTACCTTTGGGTTAGTCATTCACAAATTCAATGGAATGGACAACTATTAGTTGGGATCAAGAAGCTTCTAATATCAATTTGAGTCCCAATTTATTTGGTTTTTCATCCTCAAATTGGCCTTAAATGCAGCCAAGGACAAATGAATAGTATATTCCACATTCCTTAATCTTCATATAAGCAGAGAACAGAATATCATTAATGGTAGCAATGCCTAGACATGATCAATCTAATCCTAATGGAAAAAGATAAAATAAAAGCAAAAATAATGATATTCAGCCCTAAAAAAAATTTTTAGGCAATTAAATTGGAAAAAATCCTGTAATCATCAAATTGAATATAAAAGAGCTTATATTAGGCTGAATCAGGCATTAATTGCAAGAAAAAGGGCTAAAATGCAACTTAATTTGAATAAAACGGTCAAAATTATAGTTAAATTGGTGTTAACCTACTAACGCATGTATGTGTACGTGTACATGCGATGCACCGAATCAGTTTTTTGTTTTAACTGGATTAAACTTTTGAATTTTGAATTAAAACGTGTCTCTTCGTATTTCGATTTGTGTCTCTTCCTCCCTRTTCCTCTTCGAATAGGTGCACTGTTCTGAAGAGGCTCCTACATGAATGGACAAGAGAGTGTTCAAGTGGAGTTTTAAAGAGAGTGACCAAGTGGCACGATTCAGCCCTCATTTTCTCAGTTTCGTAGTTCTGCAACACCACACTCCTACAAGTTCTCGGTTTGGAAAGCGAATACTAATAAGTTCCATTTGCCTTCTTTTTTATTTTACAATAGTACCATGTCGAACACAGTACCGTGGCTATGACAACCCACTGTATACAATATGTTTCTATAAAAAATGGGCCAAATTTGACCCAAAAAACTCGTCTTCTTTACGTAACTTACAAATTCGGTTTTTTCATAGGCTGAATTAACTGATTGATTTAGACCCTCTATTTCCGATCTGTTTGAAGTTGAACGGTGGTCGGAAGCGACTGGAGATGGTTTTCAATTAACTAGAGATCAATATTTGGCATATATGTCCCTGGAATCCGATCAAATCGTCAGAAAAAGCAATCTGTGGTATTATAGAATGGCTCTGATACCAGTTTTGGAGTATTTTTTGTTGGAAATCGGCTTTATAATCATGGTTAAACAAGAGGAAATGAAAATAAGTATTAAAATATAGTCATACCTTCCATTTCCTTTGCTTTGAGCTTACAAACTTTAATTCACCCATCTGAGACTCTCAACTCGGCTCTAGGTCTCCAAGAAGATGGGAAAGAAGTGATTGAGAGATGGATGCCTAGTCCAATGGTGTAAAATGCTATCAGATGCAAAAAAAAAAAACAGAGGGAGAAACTCTAAATTAATTCATTAAGATAGATGGTAGATATATATACAAATATATTTGATTTGGACAAATGGGCCAACTTGGCCAACTGTCAAGTGATTGAGGGCCAGCTGTCGGATGGTTGTTAGAATGCAAGAGGCTTTCTGTTACGACTGTTGTAACAACAGTCAGTATATGCTAACACCCCCCCTTCAAGTTGGTGCGTGAAGGACTTGAATGCCCAACTTGGTCACTAGATGATGAAACTTGTCAGATCCAAGAGCCTTTGTAAAGAGGTCAGCTGGTTGAGAGTTGCTAGGCAGATGTAATGTYTTTATTTCACCACTTTGGACATGTTCGCATACAAAATGGCAGTCGATGTCAATGTGTTTAGTATGTTCATGGAACATGGGATTAGCAGCTATGTGAAATGTCGCTTTGCTGTTACAACGTAATTGCATGGCGGGGGTGTTGATGGTTAAGTCATGAAGGACTCTTTTCAGCCATAAGAGTTCAGCAGTTCTAGTGGCCATGGCACGATATTTAGCTTCAGTGGAGGACCGAGAAACAGTAGTCTGCTTTTTTGTCTTCCATGAGAGTAGTGAAGTTCCTAACAAAGTAAGATACTCGGTAGTAGATCTCCGTGTTAGTGGGCAACTAGCCCAATCAGAATCACAATATCCACATAGCATGGGTTCACTCATAGCATTGAAAAAAAGGCCATTCATGAAAGTACCCTTCAGATATCGAACAACACGAAGGGCGGCATCAAGACGCTCTTGTCTTGGCATTTGCATGTGTTGACTAAGGCAGTTAGCAGCAAAACTAATGTAAGGCCTTGTGACAGTTAGATAAACTAAACGGCCCACAAGGCAACGGTAACGGGTTGGATCTTCAAGAAGAGGGTTAGTGGAATCAATAAAGTGACGTTGCTGCTCCATGGGTATGGGAGAGGGTTTGCAATCTGTCAGCCCACATTCTGTTAGACAGTGTATGCCCTTAGCTCCAATCAGAATGATGTACATTATGACATTTAATGCAAATGAATAAAATACTTATTTGGTTCATGTCATCATGGTGTGTTTCTGTGTAATACCCTTAAACTGGACACATATGAGAATCATGTTAGTCTAGAATCTTCACAGCCATTGGATAGATCTGGGGAGATTTATCTTGCCAAGGCTGATACTGATGTGCCGCCAAGTTGGTTGGGGTGGCTTGTCTCAGCTGGCAGGGTGAGACCTAAGGTAAATGCAGTGTGGGTTTTTTTGAAACCCTGAACCAGACCAGAATTCCATTATTGCCTTGGACCTTAGAGATAGATGGGCAAAACTGGAATGCTACACATGACCCCTAGACTCAATTATGATACTGTACTAGATGTC